CATCATAATTGTCATTGTGACGCCATAATTCAAATTTGATTTAAGCCCCTAGATGCCAGAGGGATATAATATCCCTCCTCTTCTACCCTCACTTTGAAGTCGAAAACAATTCCCAAAACATCACGCACTCAAATATACTTCACAGTTTTTAATTAGCAGTGTCTGTTTTTCAAACCGATTTAATGTTTGCAGTTAAATGTACACCATCAGAAATTTGATATTGTACATCTCTGCATAATGTTTTAGCCGGAGGTAGATCCAGTGCCGCGTGAGCGCAATTCTCGCACAACCTTAACTTTTCAGATCTCAGGAAAATGTGCGTCAGAAATAAAAAAGTCAGCATCAAGCGGGTTTAACAAAACCTTGTACATGGTTCAGTTTTAATGTGGAAATATCTGTGGGAAATCAAATCATAAAAAATCAACACTGTTCAATGTCACGAAAATGCTAGGAGCAGTTTATTTTCAATGAGTCGTGTCCAAGTTGTTTTCTAACCACCAGAGACAGATATGGCCATTTTATGGAGCACTTCCATCGCTATTACCGCCTCTCATATTGCTACGTATCATTTAATTATATTTGCTTCCGTTAATCAAAGCCAGTCATTGAGTACGTGTTTTCATCGGCATCATCAGGGACTTCAAGGCCTGCATGGTCACTCCAGCGTTTTAACAGCAAGCGTACGACCAGTAACACGTCAGCCAAATGGGCATGTCGTGAGCATTACCGTTGTCATTACCATGGCGTCCGAGAAATAATGACAGATGTTGTCATATTTATAGAATTGTGAATCTGTCATTATAACTGTTTACTATCTCCCTGATGTAAAGATAGTCCTCCGTCTTTGATCGTTCGGACCGCCACGCGATTCGTTCTTTACTCTGCAGGAATGGAGTGTTTCTCGTTTCGTTCTTGTTAATTTGTTCCGGAAAATTAAACTTTCGTGATCATACTTACTTATTTATGTAGAGTGAATTGTATAAGCTTAAGGCAAGACCGATTTTACAATTCCTATAGGTCAGAGGCTCTTTCTGTATTAGGGGCGGTTGGGTAGCCTGTATTTATAAGTGACATTGAGAATATCAAGTGTACATCTAAAATATGGAGACTATTTTGCAAAAGGAAAATGTTCTTTCAAACGTATAATCCCTACACACACAAAACAAAACAACAAAAACAACAACAAACAAACAAAAAAGCCTTATTTTGATCAGTCTATGTTTTTATGTCAGTTTACTTGTAACAAGATACATTGTAATCATATCCACGTTCAAGGATTTCATTGAATCTGTTCCATTTGCACGTCCGTGGGTCTCTCGTCACTGAGTGCTCCATGTCCACGTTCAAGGATCTCATGGAATCTGCTCCATTTGCACGATCGTGGGTCTCTCGCTACTGAGTGCTCCATATGCACGTTCAAGGATTTCACTGAATCTGTTCCATATGCATGTTCGTGGCTCTCTCGCTACTGAGTGCTCTCCATATCCACGTTCAAGGATTTCATTGAATCTGTTCCATATGCATGTTCGTGGCTCTCTCGCTACTCCGTGCTCCATATGCACGTTCAAGGATCTCACTGAATCTGTTCCATATACACGTTCAAGGATCTCACTGAATCTGTTCCATATGCACGTTCAATGATCTTACTGAATCTGTTCCATTTGCACGTTCAAGGATCTCATTGAATCTGTTCCAATTGAACGTTCAAGGATCTCACTGAATCTGTTCCATATGCACGTTCAAGGATCTCATGGAATCTGTTCCATGTGCACGTCCGTGGGTCTCTCTACTGAGTGCTCCATGTCCACGTTCAAGGATCTCATTGAATCTGTTCAATATGACCGTTTAAGGATCTCACTGAATCTGTTCCATATGCACGTTCAAGGATCTCATTGAATCTGTTCCATTTGCACGATCATGGGTCTCACTGAATCTGTTCCATTTGCACGTTCAAGGATCTCATTGAATCTGTTCCATTTGCACGTTCAAGGATCTCACTGAATCAGTTCCAAATACACGTTCAAGGATCTCATTGAATCTGTTCCATTTGCACGTTCGTGGATCTCACTGAATCTGTTCCATTTGCACGTTCAAGGATCTCATTGAATCTGTTCCACATGCATGTTCGTGGAGCTCACTGAATCTGTTCCATTTGCACGTTCAAGGATCTCATTGAATCTGTTCCATATGCACGTTCAAGGATCTCATGGAATCTGTTCCATGTGCACGTCCGTGGGTCTCTCTACTGAGTGCTCCATGTCCACGTTCAAGGATCTCATTGAATCTGTTCAATATGACCGTTTAAGGATCTCACTGAATCTGTTCCATATGCACGTTCAAGAATCTCATTGAATCTGTTCCATTTGCACGTTCATGGGTCTCACTGAATCTGTTCCATTTGCACGTTCAAGGATCTCATTGAATCTGTTCCATTTGCATGTTCAAGGATCTCACTGAATCAGTTCCAAATACACGTTCAAGGATCTCATTGAATCTGTTCCATTTGCACGTTCGTGGATCTCACTGAATCTGTTCCATTTGCACGTTCAAGGATCTCACTGAATCTGGTCCATATGCATGTTCGTGGAGCTCACTGAATCTGTTCCATTTGCACGTTCAAGGATCTCATTGAATCTGTTCAATTTGCACGTTTGTGGGTCTCTCGTCATTGAGTGCTCCATATACCCGTTCGTGAACCTCTCTTCATCGGATTTGTTCAGTGACCTATCGTGAACCTTGACGAGTTTGTGTGGCATTGTCGTAAATATGCTATAGGCATGGCACAAGACCCTTGACGAAGTAGGGTATAGCGAATAATATCAAAACCCTAAGGAATACTAATATTCATGTTATACTAACTCCGGATGTTAATAACTGGTTTTACTTGCAATGTTCGAGGAGTGTCATGTAAGAGGCGATACGGCGCGAGTATAAGGGAAATTATACCAGCGCACTCATAGTTTAAGTGGATGGGCAATCTTGTGAAGAAATTAAACACAAATGATCAGAAGACAACGACATAAATTCATTCATGATAAGTTCGGCACACATCCCATGTGAGTGAGTACATGTTGTTCTACACCGCTGTAAGCAGTTTTCCAGCGATGTCACGGATGCATCTAACTAACTGAGTCTGGCCCATGCAAACCAGTGTTTGATGGCATGAGAAACGACCCACGCTGTCTGGGCAGTAGGCCATGAACATTAGATATAACCTGGAAACAAATAGTAGAAAGCTGAATGTTTCTGGAGACCTTCAGAAAGCCCTACTGATGCTCATGGCACAAAGTTCCCAAGTTCCCCGTGGGAATATTTTCAAAATGGCCCTCATCTCCGAGATTACATAGTCCAGGTCACACACACGACGACAACGACAACGACAACGACAACGTTGCCTAACTTCCCATGTTGCAGAAAGATAATATTCATATCAGCCATTGTCAAAAATGAAATAAAAACTCCGTACTTTTGGTGAACTATCACTTGCAACAGCTAGCCCTGTGTTGACTGATTGCATCGCTGTACGTTCGTGTTCAACAAAGAAACACTTGGCAATCTCTTGTTTGTAACACATTCGCCTGTCTGTAAACCTGTAACTGAAAACCTCCCTGGTTTGTAATGCAAAAAATGCTGTTTCTCAAAATCGGTACCTCACAGCTGTATGCATGAGTGAGCTGTATTTCACTCACGTCAATCTAGTTTAAGGATGGAGAAAAAATTAGCAACCTTTAGTTTGATGACATGTCCTCAGATATCTATGTTTACATCAATAATAGCAGGAATTGGACAAAGGATCAGCGCATCCTGACAGCTAAGGGGGGCAACTCACGTAACTAACATAAATGAGCTATTCAGAAGAAAGTATTATTTTCAGTGTAGAGCTTAACCGAAGGCGTTGGCCAACATTACGTGTAAAAACCCTCAAGAAATATGGACAAACCTTGCACGGTTTCTGTCTTCACCGCAAGTTTCTATAAGGACTCCACACCGCCACATTATGACGCAAAAGAAACAAATCAAGCTCTCTGTTGTCCCTAAAATTTGAAATAATTCCCATTGTCCATTTTACATGTCTTCTGCCCCAAATGTATTGCCACACATACTTGGAATATCATGGTAACCGTATTTTGTAACCTATTATTGTACCGTAAACTACGATTATAGCGAACTCAAAGGAACCACTAATTTTAGTTCGTTATAAGCATATATACAGCATAACTACAGAACATTTTAGGGACAAAAAAGTAAGTTCGTTATATCCGTCAGTTCGTTATCAGCGTGTTCGTTATAACCGTATTTTACTGTAGTATCATTTTTTTCAAAATGCATACCGACAATGATTGAAAAATAACTTTCCCATGGATATTAGCTTCTGTGCCTAATCGCAACGAAGTAAAATTAGATCGAAACAAACAAAAAAGAGGATGCATTATGCACTCACTGGAACATGGTCAGTTACCCTTGCTTTCGGGGGTACCAGGACACCCACTCAGTCACATCAGTCAGTGTGACACGTGATCCTCAATATAGTCGGCTCTTACGACAAGATCGGGATAGCGGGGTCCCATCCCTCTTATTAAAACACAGGTGTACATTTGCAGTCTTATATCTCTGTTTACCTATTTGTGACCAAGCATGAGATTATGGGACCGCATTGGTGAAACATCACATTTTAACGTTTCATTATATTTTAAAACTACAGTCTCTTGGGAACACAAAAATCTGATTCACAAGCTTCAATTCATATAACTGACTTATAACTATTAATATTATAATTGCAGTTTTCAGACATAATGCGTGATGAATTGACTTATTCTGAAAGGTTTTGAAATAATGTTTTTATTACATTGCCAACTATAAGAAAAATAATATATGTTTGTACAGTCCGCACAAATGGCGATCTTCACTGAACTGTGCTGACGTCAAACATCTTTATGACGTCATTGCACCATAAAGTTCCTTTCCTCCTGGTGGGTTACATTTGTGTTTCTGGTTCGCAGGTTCTGTCCGAGCGTGTTCTTCTATCTGGGCAGCGTTGTGCCCGCTATCTGGTTCCTGGAACTTCACGCCATGGAAGAGCGGATTGCCGAGAAGGAAAATTTCAACACCACCATCATCGGTCGCAACAACACCGCCGAGGACCTCACCATGACCATAGCGGAGTTGGGGGTGAGTAACTCCTCTCAACAACCCCGTAGTTGGATCAGCAACATCACTCGGGTTTCATGAGTGAATTTAATACTGCTTGGATATATTTATATCACGGTTTGAAGTTTGTTGTGGTTTGTTTGTTTGTTTGTTTGTTGTTAACCCCGCACTCAGCAATATTCCAGCTATATGACGGCAGTCTGTAAATAATCGAGTCTGGACCAGACAACCCAGTGATTGACATCATGAGCATCGATCCATGCATTTGGAATACGATGACATGCATCAACCAAGTCAGCTAGCCAGACCACCCGATACCGTTAGTCGCCTCTTACAGACAAACAAACAAACAGGGTCAATATTACAGCTACATCACGGCGGCCTGTTCATTATGGACTCTTGACAAGGCAACCTACATTTATAAACTGTGTTCTAAACCAAAACCAAAACACGTGCCGCTTTCCATCAGTGGAATATGGATTGAGGCCAAAGCATGTTTTGATCATGAACATGAGTTCAGATTATAAAATCTTTGAAGTTTAATCATGTTCAGATTTGGGGACGGTGCGGGGATGTAGTGAGGTCTGAGCCCATTTCATGTGAAAAACTTTATTCCGTATGTTAGGATTATGTGCAACATGTTTAGAGCTAAACATGTGTTTTACAGTGTAATTGGAAGCAAGGACAACGACCCCTACACTTAGGATACAATGACACACATCAGCCAGGTGATATAGATATTACTACACGAGTGAAACAAGGAGTTGTAAGACAAATGGTATCTGACAGACACGAGAGCAGTAACCCCCCGCTTGCCAGACAAACGCTCTATCTAATAGACCACTGAGACGTTTGTATAAAGGAGTTATATATGTTAAAGTGTTTGAAGGGGTATGTACAGTAAACTACGGTTATAACGAACTCAAGGGGACCACTATTTTTAATTCGTTATAACCATAGTTCTTTATAAGCAAATGTACCGAATATATACAGAAAATAGACAGGACCAAAAAATAGTTCCTTATATCCGTTATTCGTAATAAGCGTGTTCTTTATAAACGTAGTTTACTGTACCTCATAAAAGAAGATCAAATACCCACCCTTAACATAATGGGAATATTCAACTTTTTGAGATACAAAATGCTTTGAGATACATTCATTCCTGCATTAACCGTCAGACCCAACAAGCACAGTCTAAATTTAACAAGTGTATTTCTGTACTTGTAGTTAAGTTATTTAACGACCTCTCTGGGTCAAAGCAGGTTTCAAATGGTCTATAAACATCACCTAGAACCGTGATTAAATATGCATTCCTCACGAAACGTTACAGCAGTTTGTCGAAAATATCTTAAAGAGTTTTCTCTTTACCAAAACATCCCTAAACCATGAACAGATCATTAATAACGGTTTCTGCTCGACCTCAGATTTGACATGTTTCTGCTTTGACATGTCCTGACTCACTCGTGATGCTTTAGGAGTCGTCAGCGTGAAAATTCAGCAGCTTGAACCAATACTTGATGTGCCATGTGAAGGAACATAAATTAGGCATTATGATTCATTATTCATCGGAATTTCCAATATGGATTCGCAATTGCCACCTGGGCTATCGCTAAAACGTTGTTAGTTCCGCTTTGTGTGGAGGGATCCGCATCAGACAGGTCATCGCGTTCCTCTGTTCTTTACTGAGGGTTATCTTTTCTGTCTTTTGTCATGTTATCCGCTGTCGTGGTAATTTAATCGACCCACTTGTCACTTCCGGTGTTTGAGTGTGAAGCTACACCCTTCGTCACCACTCTACACTTTCGTTACCTCGAAGACGACTCGTCCCTCTATCGATCAATGTTAAATGCGATAATGGTTCAACAAGGTGGATTTTTTCGCCAGCGCCCGTTTGCTCTAAGATGGAACCCAGTTCATAAAATGTCCCCGAGTGGGTCACGAGTAGTCATTTGGCTTGTTTCGGAACGTCGCAAAGTGGTCACGAATAAAACAACACTGTCAACACAGCCCACGCGCTCCAGTCCATTTATACGCTATCTCTGTTGTTTCAGTGGTTATATATGGTTATATCGACCTGTATGATATAGTCCAGTTTCAAGAACTAATCTGTACAGCCAATAACAAAATCCATAAGCTAAGGACAGTACATTTACTATTAGATAGGATTTATCATGCGTACTATAAGATTTATTGACCATTGCTATAAACCGTCATTAATTAATCTGGACAGTAAGCCCAACAGATTAGAATCTTCTTGTCAGACGCGACAAGGAGGTCGTCCAGTTTGACTTCACTGTGATTTAACGGTGATCAATTGATTCATTTGACCAGCGGTCACATCTAACCAGTGTCCATAAGGCAATATTAAGGTCTTTCGGACCAGAACCAGCGACCCTATCATGCAGGCGTTGGGTGCAGTGGCTCTGTGTCATTTCAGATAATATGCATGGCCTCTGATATTACCGATTAAGCAAAAGAGTTATTTCGTACTTTCGCCGATTCTACTTTTGATACCCAAGTGCTTGGTTATTGGCAAAACGCGCATATGGCCTTGTTAGCGTTGTTACGCTGGAATTAACATAAAACAGGATTATTAATGTTCGTGTTCTTTGTAAAGAAGTTGGATTCATTGTTTGATGAAATTCCAAACTGGCAACAGAAATATTAAACCTGTTTAAGACTCAATAATTTTATAGAAAATACAAAAAGGGAATTTAGACGTGTTTATCCTGTTAATACAGAAAAAACCGACAGACGGTAGCGAGACATATCATCACGGCATCAGCAGGTCGGGCGTTTCAGATATCCAGCATGTATTTATCTAGATGTGAAATAGATCCTTGCATCCCCGTCTTATCAAGTTTGGTGGCCGCGGTGGCGTTTGAACTTTCAGAAAGAAAATATACGTACATCAAGCAAGAACAAGCTCATTATTTGTTTCTAAATAGTTGGTTGGTTGTTAACTCCGCACTCAGCAATATTCCAGCTATATGACGGCGGTCTGTAAATAATCGAGTCTGGATCAGACAATCTAGTGATTGATATCACGATCATCGATCCGCGCAATTGGGATCGATGACATGCATCAGCCAAGTCAGCGAGCCTGACCACCCGGTCCCGTTAGTCGCCTCCTACGACAAGCATAGTCGCCTCTTATGGTAAGTATGGGTTGCTGAAGACCTATTCTACCCCGGATCTTCACGGGTCTTCTCAAAAAGCAATATGGTTCCCATACAGGTACTTAATCAACGACCATATTAAAAACTGTATGCCAAAAATGACTTCTAGTCGTCATAGACGCCGTAAATCGATGTGCAGAGTTGTGCCCCTTAAACGTGCCCGAATCCGATTATCATGGGTTCGAATCCCAGAAGGCTTGTCCGCACCATATCAAGTAAAAAACGTTGAGTACCATTTTTATATTGGAAGTCAGAGAACTTTCCTGAGCAATCGCAGTTTGTGTAATACGTTAAAGAACCATGTTGTAGTGGTGAAATGTTATAACTGAACATTTAAATATATAAGCGTTGTTCTCTTTGATCTTGATTGAAATCTTATTTGTTAATGCACAGTGGGAACGTGCGCGTTATATAAAGTCCAATATCCCACACTTAATGCTGGTTAATATCAGTCCAGGCCATATGAATAGTTGTTTTTCATTCATATAACCCTTAAGAAGAAAGCGATAACACAGTCACGGCACTATTACTCGAATCGCAGGTCATAGTTAACAGCCAGACAGTAAATAGTAGGGTCTTAAACACGGCTTTGAACTGTTACAGCGGTCGGGTAGCCTTGTGGTTAAGGCGTTCGCTCCTCACGCCGAAGACCCGGGTTCGATTTCCGACATGGGTACAATGTGTGAAGCCCATTTCTGGTGTCCCCCGCCGTGATATTGCTGGAATATTGCTGAAAGCGGTGTAAAACCATACTCACTCACTCACTCACTAAACTGTTACAGGAGATCAGTTGTCACGCATGTCATGAAATGGCAGATTTAGATTGGTAACGAATATTTGGCAATTACCCCATTAGCGCTAGAGAGCAAGGGGGCTGGGGCTGGGAAGGGTTTCATGGAAAACCGCGCCTGATCTCTACTCTCATTTTTACCTATATTCCAACCAAACATTATTGATAATGTGTCACTTTAATTTACACGGCATAAAACAAACCGTGGAGCGGCTTTTATTATTATTGTTGTTGTTGTTATAATTAGAAAATACATATTTTTTTTTTATTTTTAAAATAATAATTATATTTTTTTTAAATTGATTTTAATTATTGATGTTGTTGTTATTATTATTCTCAATTCGAAACTGTCCGTTAACGTTCGTTGTTGAGATACAGAAATCAGATATGCTTCTGCAAATCCTTCGCTGACTCGGACCGAGAAGTCAGAAACCTCTGTGATGATAGTGCAATATAAGATGAACTATTCGGTGCAAACGCATGCTATACAAAGTACCAGTCTCGTCGTCTCGGTTGTTAATAACCCGCCTTACACGTGTTTATATACACCGAGATTACACATGTTTACATACACTGTTCACCTGTAATTTATGCTCCCAATTTCTTGAGGTTATCTTGGAGGTGATTTCTTCTTCATAACCAAAAAAACATAAGCAGTGAAAATGTTATCGTAGACTGATCAAAGATATGATGTCGCACGAGCTTGCTGGGCGTGCAATTACGAAACCAGATAATGGATGCAGGTAGAGCTTGAGAAACATGTTATAACCATAATAATGTGCCGTTGCTTTTGAAATGAATCATAAAACATTTTTAAGAGTGGATGCTATCAGGTTGGGAAATGGATCTCGTTTACACATTGTTTAAAGGTTTTTTAAAATGTTTTAAAACATCTCATCTAATAGAAATTCTATATTTTATTCAGCCAATATAAACACATTGGCTAGAACGAAATTCGAATATTGTTGTCTTCTTTTTGGCTTTTTCGTTTATAATCTTAACTATTTAGTTTTCCTACGTGGCATCATCGAATAAAACATATCGCTATTTAC